TGAAACTGTCTGCGACATAGAAGAATAATGAAAGTAAAATGAGACATGACCTCTTAAGTATCTCAAGTGTGGGGTCACATAAGGAAGATCATGGCAGACAGAATTTGCAAGAATAAACTGTAGTAATGTCATAATCTCACCGACACAACCCAGTGAATGTTGCACTGGTTCAGAGTTTTGTGTTTTTTAATTCCCTGTACAAACACACACATACATACATACACTAAAAGCATCAGAATATTTACAATTAATAGCTTCTTGTGATAAATCTCTGACAGTAGAGAGTGAGTATCCTTGAATACTGTGAAGATTCAGAAGACATATTCCATATATTTTTCAAACTTTTCAATTGTAAGGGACCGGAATCTTGCCTTTGAAAGAAATCCTTCGCTCAAGAGAAAAGTCTGAACCTGGCCTGGATTTCACACAGAAAAACAAACATATCAAGCACACAAAATATGTAGCTGCTTACAAAAAGCAACCAATTGCACAATATATATTCCCCTTTCTCACTTGTTAGATTTGAAACAGTATTGAGTAAGGTGGGAATCCACCATGTCAAGTAAGATAACAGCATACTATATCTAAAATAAATAGAAGCTTCCTTTATCTCTGCCAGCTGGCAATTCTCACAGCAAATCAAATATGCCTTCAGATGAACCTTGACATCACATCTGCAAAATAAATAAAATACAGAGCTTTGAAATTTTCTTAACAGGGATTTTAAAAAAAAACACCAAATACCAGGATGAGCCTATAGTTTAATTATTTAATTAACAATTTTAATTATACATTACATTGTTGATGTAATTGTTCAACGGCACTGCAGTCTAACATTCCACTTCCATCACTTTCTGGAGGATTCTCATAGTAGGTGGGAATGTTTGCAGTTCTTCAACATTAAAAACTCTAGGGTCTATTGTTTAGTGTTGCTTGTGTTTCAGATGTTGAAATCTAGACTTTGAGCTTGATTAACTACCAGAATCTTCCCTCCCTCTTGTAACTGTCTGGGTACCCTAAAAATCTGTTCTGGAGGGCTGGCAAACTCTCTGGAGTAGGTTTGGATGCCATCAAGGGCTGCAGGGGTAAGAGAGGTGATTCTGTTAACACAGGATATGGAAATACACCACTGGATCGTGGCCTCTATGTAAAACTATTTATACTAAGTATTGAGAAAGCTGATACTACAAAAGCAGTCATTAATCCTTTTGTATCTGAAGGTGTGATTAAATAGATACAACGCCTGATTGCACTCAAAAGGATTGATTTGATAGGAACAAGCTCCTTTAAAGCAACCCTTCAGTCTCTATGGGAGTTGCTCCACTGTGGCCCCAAAAAAGTAGTAAGTCCACTGCTAGTCTTAAAAGGTTCAGATTGGGCACAAATCAGGGTCAGACTGAAGCACTATTCCCTGTACATCATGTAATTGCCGGGAAATATCTCACACTAGACCATGCTACACGAGCTATGTGCCCATGTGATCACACCCTAATTTTCATTGTTGCCTGTGTGAGAGATGGCAGGAGAAGAACGCAGACAGAATTTTCTCTCTCCTCATTTGTAGCAGAAAACACATTGCTATAATCCTATTTTCAGATATCCGGTAAATCTGGCAATATGCCTGCAGTGGGATTCTGTAACTAGCCCTAGAAATTCTAATGTAATCTCGAGGGTCCACAAAATAACTATAAATTATATTCCCAAAAAAAGGTAATTTGTCGATATCTTTTCTTCTTGTCCAGCGTTACTACAGCTCTTAAATGTATATATGAACGCACTGTTTACTCCCAATCAATATTTGCTGTACTCATTAACAGTACAGTGACCCACATTTTATGATTACTAAGATATCATTATTTGCTTTAGGTGTAGTCTGTTTTAGAAGAAGAAGGTGTTGACTAGTATTGCAATCTTCATACTACAAAAAAAAAACTATAAATAATGCTACATAATAATAACTTAGAAACATACTAGGATATTTCAGTTCCAAAGTCACAGTAAAACCATTTTCAATAATAACTGTTTGAAGGCCAGAACTAAAATTAATACCCATCAATTTTATCTGTCTTTTTTTAATGTGTAAATTGAGAATAGTGACAAAAATAATGACAACTTCTGACACGTTGACTAGTATTGCAATCTTCATACTACAAAAAAAAAAACTATAAATAATGCTACATAATAATAACTTAGAAACATACTAGGATATTTCAGTTCCAAAGTCACAGTAAAACCATTTTCAATAATAACTGTTTGAAGGCCAGAACTAAAATTAATACCCATCAATTTTATCTGTCTTTTTTTAATGTGTAAATTGAGAATAGTGACAAAAATAATGACAACTTCTGACACCATAAAAACCAACAAGTTTATTACAGCACAAGCTATTGTGGACAAAACTGTGACTCTTTAAAGTGCCACCAGACCTTCTGTTGTCTTTTACTGCAACAATGTCAGTCTGGAAATTGCAAGTACTTACATATCATATGTGCAAGTTTAGGATTGGAGAACCAATCTTTTCTCCCATACAACTGATCTTCCCTCTGTATGAATTCCACATTTTGTGCCAGGATTTAGGCAGCAATGACACTGGCAAACCAAACCATTCTGATTTGCTGTGGCTTGATTCGCAACCTAGTTTACACTTCTCTTCTGATTAGGTGATCACATGGAGACTGCATATTTTTTGGTGCCAGTGTCCACTATTCTGATGCGGTTTGATTCACACTTCTGTGCACAGCCCCCTTCCTTTGATTTTACCTTCTGCCATTCCCTAGCTCTTCTTTTATGGCTGATTGTAAAGCTATTGGGCTCTTTAAAGTGTTGCATGGCATTAGGGAAAAGGGAGAGTTTTTCAAAATTCTCCGTAATGCAGGGGGCCCCAACCCTTGGTCCATGGCTGGTACTGGGCCGTGGCCTTGGCAGGACCAGGCGATAAAGACAGATCTCTTGGGGAACCCTTTCTGCCATTCCCTAGCTCTTCTTTTATGGCTGATTGTAAAGCTATTGGGCTCTTTAAAGTGTTGCATGGCATTAGGGAAAAGGGAGAGTTTTTCAAAATTCTCCGTAATGCAGGGGGCCCCAACCCTTGGTCCATGGCTGGTACTGGGCCGTGGCCTTGGCAGGACCAGCCGATAAAGACAGATCACTTGGGGAACCCGCATGCACCCACACCCACACATGGCCACCCGCACACACGGGCTGCCCACCCACCTGCACAGGTGCCTCACCCATCCATGCATGCACACAGGCATGCCCCACCCACCCGTGAGCACTCACCACCCATGTGTGAGCATGTCCCACCCATGCATGCACAAACGTGCACCCTACCCCTGTGAGTGCAGGGCTGCCCCTCCCCCCGTGCATTGACCTAAACTAGTATCTCAAGATGATGATAAGGTGTCTTAGCATTAGACTCAGTGGTTTATTTTTTTAGAAAAAATCAGACAGTCTGGTGTTCCAGGTGAGATGACAACCAGAAAGAAAAAAACATTAATTTTTCTTTGTGCTTCCAGGACACCATACCCAGTTGTGGGATTCAAGGAGTTGGGCTAGAGAAAGTAACTTCTCCATTTTCTGATCACTCCACCTAGAAGACTGCATTTTAGCAGGAGGTTTTTAGGTTTGTCAGGCACTGTGAAAGAAGCTGGGGCTATCTCAAAGGGACGGGCTGCACTTGAACAGAAAGAGGAGCAGCTGCTCTTTTAAAAAGACCAGAGCCTGAAGTGTGAGGTTAGAAAAATAATTTGTTAATACAGGACCAACATTATCATTGGGGGACATTAATTTATTATCCACAGTATTTGGAGGCAAAATTACTTAATTCACCAAATAAGCAAGAGCTAACTCACTAATTGGGACGTGGTGGTGCTGCGTGCTAAACTGCAAAAGCCTTTGCTGCAGGGTCAGAAGACCAGCAGTCGTAAGATCGAATCCACGCGACGGAGTGAGTGCCCGTCGCTTGTCCCAGCTCCTGCCTACCTAGCAGTTCGAAAGCATGCAAATGCAAGTAGATAAATAGGGACCACCGCGGTGGGAAGGTAACAGCGTTCCATGTCTAAGTTGCACTGGCCATGTGACCACGGAAGATTGTCTTCGGACAAACGTTGGCTCTATGGCTTCGAAACAGGGATGAGCACCGCCCCCTAGAGTCAAACACGACTGGACAAAAAATTGTCAAGGGGAACCTTTACCTTTACCTTAATTTACTAATTAAACAGTCAGTTTTGAAATATGTCATGGGATTTTACATTGTGACTTTTCACTGTCATCTACTAATGACACGCTTGATGCTAGCACCTTCAGAAGTTCTACTCTTGCCAGTTTCAGGTGGCCTTTTGCAGTTTGTTACTTTTTTCCCTAAGCAGCCTACAAATCCTATAATGGAACGGTTGATTCTCTTGTTTTGTGTGAGGCTGCTTGTAAATGTGCATCATGTGTCCTCATTTTTTTGGAACTGTTTATGCAATGTCTAAGCAACTATGCTTAGCCTATGCATCTGTGAATAAAGCAAATATTACAAAAGGTCAAAAGCCTCCTGCAATTAAAGGAAATCAAACCCAAGTTAAGTGCTGCATCTTGGGAATATCTCACCAATCATAGAAATGGGGTACATCTCACATCTGGAATCACTTGCTTCCTTATGTTGCAAAGATTGACCCACCTTTCCCCTGCACAGCTGCCCTGGAACTTTGAATGCCACAGGGACACAGAAAGGAAATACGTTCCACGGCTACTGACACTCATAGCCATACATTGATGTTTTAAAGGTTAAAATCCTTTGGATTGCTTCTAAATGTAATTCTGACACAAGCGATTTAGTGCTGCTCAATCTCACCATTCCACTCCCAATTCATAAAGTATTTGCCCACAAAGGTATTTGTCCAGGCTGATACCTTATTCAATCAGCTTCTTTTGATTTCAGATAAGCCGTCTGTCACCTGTACTTGATAGATTTCTTATGGCTACTTAATCTGTTCTTATGTTCAGTGAGAAGTCTAAGCTATTTTATTTCCTGTCAACAACTCCCTCTTGGCAAACACCACCCAGTGGCCACATACCTTCTGACACCTCAAAGAATCTAATAAAAGGAAGACGGCTTGTTCAGCCCATTCAGAAAAACGGAGTACGAGCCACACGGCTGATCTTTGCAGAACCAAAGCTGAGGAGGCAAAATGAGCAAAACAGCTGGTAAGTACATGAGGAAATGTTGCTTCCTTTTGAATAGCTTTCTTCTTCTTTGCCCTTGCTTGATACCTCTGGGTGAAGTAATGCAGAATAGCGCACTAACAAAGTTAAATAATGTCACACATTAATGGGAACTCAGGCCCTGAGGTTCATATCTTGTTCAATCAGCTTCAAATAAGGTTATAATTTGCTTTTTGGTTGTAGGCAATCTTTAAACCATTGGTAAAAGGAATGCTATTTATATTTAAAAAGCAATGGGGGTATTGAAGAGATTCCAATGTTGCAGCCACATTACAATCACCTTCTTTTTTTTCTTCTCAGCATGACTAATAGTTTTGTTATGGTCTTATCAGTTTTCATGGAAAGTTCTGTGATATAGTTTATTTATGTATATATTTATTTATAGTTCTCTACCATAGCTGCCAAGGTAAGAAGTATAGCTGAAATTACAAACACTTTACATGCCATTGATTACAGTACTGAACTCCCATTGATCTCACTGCTTGATCTATAAAATACAGACACGTATTTAGGCTTCCCAATGACACTCTCCCCAAATATTAATATGGCTGTTAATAACTGATTCAATAAGGGTGATTCAGCTAGCCTATTGACATTAGAGCTTTGGCTTCTTTAAAAAAACTGAGTGACAAGCTGGAATGCATGTCACTCAGTGCAACCACTGCCAAGGAGCTTGTCCACTTGAGGAAAAAGGTACTGTACCTGGTTTAGCAATGTTCCTTTCTGTTCTTTTTTCCTGTTAGCCGGACATTACATTTGATCTTCTTCTCTCTGCCTTCCTTTGATTCTCTGTCTCCGTGGGAGAAAACTATTATTTTGAAGAGGGCTTTATTGTGGATAGCTCAGTGGTTTAGGTAGCTGGCTGTGGAGCCAGAGGTTGGGAATGTGATCCCCCGCTGGGGCTCCTGTAGGTAGAGCCAGCCTAGGTGACCTTGGGCGAGTCCCAGGACCCCTCCAGAAGGAGGGAAGGGTAAAACACTTCTGAGTAGTCTCTGCCTGGAAAACCCTGAAAAGGGGGTCACCATAAGTCTGAACTGACTTGACTTCACATTATTATTATGTTGCGGGGGGAGTGGATTTCAATGCTACAATGCTTCCTATGCAGAGTTTTTTTTCTGTATCAGGGACTCCGAGTTTGGAAGGCTTTAACTGACTCTTTGTTAAGTTAAAAAGTGGGGACTCAAAAGACAAACTATAGTGGGGAAGGAGTTTATAAGAATGTTCTTCCTTGGAAGCAATTTTTGGGACCAGACTTTTGCCGTACAATGTACACAGCAATATTAGTAAGCCTCAGTTCTTTTCAGGATAAATCATGCCTACCTGTGGTCATTTGCTACACTAGTTTTGCCCATTCAGACAAGCCCTAAGTGTGCCTATGGGAAAAACTTCATTCAGTTTGTCCAAATACTAATCCAAATGATGCAAATTTGTACTCTTTGCATTGGTGCATCACTGCATAGACCAGTAATATTGATGCTCTTGAAAGCTGCCTAATAAATGATGTGTCTTTAAACAAAGTCATCCAGTACATGAAGACGAACAGGCAATTGCCCATCTGTGTATGTGTCACGTCCTAACAGGTGTGCTCTTGTTCAAGTATATTTTTTAATGTGTTATGGTTTATAAAGGCTGAGATAAAAAGAGGTGCTTTTGTATTGGCCATTTTGTTGTTGTTTTTATGCTGACCAGACAACTCAAGGCTCAGTTCAATAAGATCAATGCCACTCCCCCCACCCAACATTTTGTGCTTTTTTTTGTACTATTGACTTGTTCCAGGATTTGTTGTGTTGAGCAGAGTTTAGTGCAACAGTGCTTCCTATGAAGTGCTCATTTCCACGTCAGAGGCTCCCAGCTGAAAACCTTTCATTAGCTCCAAAATTAGCTTTTAAAAATGGATGGGAGAAAATTCAAGAGGTAATGTTTCAGCAAGGAAATAAGTTGATCATAATTCCTTTCCTGAGAAGCCTAGACAATTTTCAAAGACATCGTTCAGCACTCTTTAGCATGAACCACAACTAACTGTTCTCATTTGCTGTGGTGTTTTTGTCCATCTGGTCACGTCTTAATCTCGAGGCAATTTATCATTGACCCTTCAGACACACTTTAACAGGAAGCAATAGAACAGCCAGAATCAGAAAACATTTAATGAAAGGCAGTGAAAAGCCTCAACAACACTTGCAAACAAAGATAATCAGGTCTGAGAAAATATGGGAACACAATGCAGAAAGTGCTGCCGTGCAACTATTTAAGATCATCATATATAAATTCTTTTATTTAAAAAAAAACAAGCAAACAGCAAAAACTGCAACGAAGAGGGCTAATACTCTGGACATAATTCTGTTATGTCCTGACCATGCAATGCTGTATTGTATGAACAGCTGGATAGTTCTGGAACTTACAGAAGAAAGTATTCAGTACCTCCTTACGCAAGCAGAAGTCTCATTCGTGTTAATGGGTGTTTTTTGCATTTGTTTCAGAAAAAGAGATTGTATTGAACTATGTATGTGAAGTGTTCATTTCCACCTGTGCAACAGGATAGTCACTTCTATCACTCAAATTTGTGTTTCAAATGTAATTCATTTCCCCAGAGGCACATGGCTGGGAACCTGAGGCTGCCTTTTAGCAGGTTGGATTAAAGGGATAAATTTCAATTTTTCAAAAAACAGAAAGCTACGATATTATTGAGTCCAATGCTAACTCTCATGTAAGTGGATGCCAGCCACACTGACATGCATGAAGTCTGAGAAGGAAAGAAGGAAACAAAGGTTTTGTTGACAAAACCTTTGGTCTAGATGGTCCAGATAGAAATCCAATAAATAAATAAATGCATTTGTTGACCAAGAGTACAGGTGGCAGAGGTACAGCCTGGCTGGGTTTAACAGCGTACCTAGCCTCCTACAAGCGACCTACGCATGCGTGACTAACTGAAGAAAAGAAATTCTTCTCATGTATTTTTCCCACTGCCAAATTAATAGATTCTATTTCCTTTTCTTTTTGTTTACTCAACAGAGAACAAACAAAAAAAAAGATCAGAAATGCCACACCAGCTTTACAAGCAAACAATTCCTTAGAAATTGTTGTAGGACTAGAAAATTCCTGTGGCACTTTAGGCCTTCCTGGTTTTCTTTCAGGGGTGACATTAAAAATGATTGCATAGGAACCTAATCACTCATTAAGACAACTGTGTCATTTGCAGTGACATCAGTTCTTTTTAAAAAATAACTCATGTAAGAGTGGCCTTGGCTTAGGACTATAGCACACAAGGTCCCAGTGTGGCCTCTATGAACAGACATCCTGTTGCATGAAATCTCCCTTTAATGCCAGAGGTTTAAACCTCCCCTCCTTGTATGATGTATGCTCAATGTTAATATTTGCAAAATATTAATACTGACATCACTGCAAGTAATGCATTTAGTGTAACAGTTGACTTACAATATCAGGATTAATCTAGAGGAATCTGAGTTTACGTTTAGAAACTGATTTCATGTTATTCTTCCAGTGATATATTTCCTCCACTGATTTATTCCCCCTTGTCTGAGCATTGAGATCTGCAAACAAAGCTCATTTCTACCCTCTGACAACCAATCACACAATAAGAAAAGCTCACCTGCAAGATACAGAACATGAGAAAAATGCTAGCATGTGTCTTACTTCTTCAGGGAACTCCAGCTGGAAATAAGAGCTCGGTGGCATGTCAGCCATTCTTCAGCTCTCAAAGGAAAAGGACAATCAAGCTTACCTGTCCACAACTGTGATGGTGGGGAAATGGAATGTAACACCTCTTCAGGCAGTAGTTGAGAAAGAGAAATTGGGATTCTAGCCTCATTCTTTTTCCATTATGATAGCCATCATTTTAATGGACGTTACAAAGCACAGAAGAGCTAGAAATCCTTAAAAGCTATAGTTTAAGGCAGATATGGGCTGGCATCAGGCTTCAGGGAGTCCCCTTTCCCCCCCAAGAAGATCCACCAGTTATAACCAAATAGTAAACACGGGAAGCGGAGAATCAGTGGAACTGGTTGCCTACTGTAGCCCCGTCATCCTACACAATACAAATACATCTGCATTTAGTAACTATAGATTAGCTCTTTGAACATAAAGTTCTCAAAATTGGCCAGCTACACAAAAATTTAGTCAAATGTGATGAATCAGTACTTGTATCATGCAGGCAAAAAACGTGAGGTTAAGAGATAGTATATGGACAATCATGGCAGGGATTTTTTAAAATCACATTTTCTTTTCTGGTGTTAAATTGTTAAAAATCAGACACTCTTGCCAATCTACTGCTTTCTTTGGGTCTCCCCCACCGCATGGCCTCAAATTCTCTGATTCTAAATCTGCCTCTAATATGGTAAATAGGAAAGCCAATTAGATTTGCATACACCTGGGAGGCAGGAAAGTTTTAAGGGTCGGATCATACTTCCGCACTATTAAAGAGCAGGCTGGGTAGGTGGGGCTCGTCAGCCATGGAAGGCAGCCCATCTAGGAGAAGGAAAACTCCGATTTCAAACCTCCACTGCCTTGTGGCTATATCACTGGTGGAAAAGGCTTCAGGAGTTAACCTAGAGGCAAAATCCGGAGCTGGAGTTCCGAAGGCAGTTCGTGTCGTACTGGTCCTTGCCTTTCCATTGGACCAGTTCAGCAATGTGGAGAGGGGGGATCTGCTGCTCCGAAACAAGTAGCATGCTCCTTGTTTCAGAGCATGCTACCATAGTCTCTCGAGACTGAAGGATGCCTAGAGATGGTGAACTCCTGAATCAATCTGCAGCTCCTGTGTGAATATTGAGTTCAATTTCAAACATAGTACAGGCTGCAAAGCAAATCCAGTGTAGTCACACCCTAAATAGCATATCATTAGCAACAATAGCAGGGAAAACTATACCTTCTGTTGAGTGACAAGACACCATCCATGCAGTCTGTTGGTTCATTCACTGACTACTCTTCATTAGAGTTTAGGAGTTTCCATTTAAAATCTCTTTTAAATCTAAGAATCTAGTGTGGTCGATTTAGAATACAATTCACTGGGATTTCTATTTGCTACCATCTATTTATTTTACTTAACCATAGTTGAGTTTTGTTCCTTAAGCACATTTTGTTCATTGCTAGTAACAGGTATTTGTCTGTTTAGTTTCCCCTCTCTTTTTGAAAACAAAACAACTAAACAAAAACACCTTAACTTCAGGTTATCACAACTTTAAATAACATAGTTAGCTTGGTCTAAGGAAACCCTAGCTATAGAAGGCTTGTTGAGTTCTGCACAATCTCTCGTGCATAAGAGCAACCTGAAAACCAAAATAACGACAACACAACCGATACATATTAAAGATTTTTTTTGGTCTTTTCCAGGGGGTCCTCTGAAGGCTGTTGGCGTTGATTACCTGAGAGAACAGAACACGTTTCTCCACCATACCAATGACTATGCAAACAGAAGCCTGATTGTGAGACGTGGGCAAGAGTTTAAGCTGAAGCTGGCTTTTAGCAGGGAGCTGAATGAGGATGACAAAGTCCACTTGCAGCTCAGCTTTGGTAAGCACTGCCATCATATCACTTTTTCATTAATAAAATATCAGTTTTTAATTAATAAAATATGCATAGAAATATGTATCCAAGTATCAAGTCTTCAGAGATTCTGCCGTCTGTAATCACAAACCATAAGGATGTCAGTCAAAGCTGAAGCAAATTCATAAAGATTTCCACCATTTTCTGAATGACTTAGGATTTCAGAACTAACTCAGTTTTACAGAGAAGTGCACTTTTTCTTTTCAGGACTACAGTGAGTAAGAAGGGAAAGCATAGGAATGAAGAGACATAGCAATGGAATGTATTTTGTACGCTACACTGATGCACCCTCCTTATCCATTCGGGTGGTCCATTCTATGCAGTTGTATCCCAATGGAAGCAAGCATATGTGTATTAGGGCAGCAACTGAAAATGGGGAAGACAGACAAAAGCTGGTGCTTTGACATCTTCTATTACAGTCCTTATTAAATTGTTGAATATTGTTCTCCTCTTCCTCCCTTTCCTTTTTATTATTATCCTATCAAAGATCGTAAGGGATCATGTCTATTCTGACTTCAGATGCAATGGCTCTAAATAAAGATGTTGCCTTGCATCCAAACCAAACTCTAAGATTTTTCAGCCAAGAGGTTTGTTTCCTTCCTTCACTTAAACTATTGGCTCTAATGATCTGTAAGATTTACTTCTCATTGCATGACCAAAGTATTCTAGATTTCCACATTTTATATGTCTTACCATTTTTAGTTCTTCATTCACTTTCATACTCTTCATTGGTTACCCTCTCAATCCAAGGAATTCTTTAACCCCTTGGGAAAAATGTATATTGCATGTGCATGCAATCTTTAGTGCAGCACGTGTTAAGACATGGGATTCCATACCATATGAAACATGCCATGTTAAATGTTACTCATTAGTATATATTTTTAAAATTTCAGGTGAAAAACCAATGGAATCCAAAAAAACATGTTTATCTTTGAATGCAAGGTCAGGAGAAAATGATCAAAATTGGCATGCTAAGATCTGTCAAACAAATGGAAAAGAGGTACGTACATATGTATGGAGTATTATATATTTAAATGTGCACTTAATAGTATGTATTGATTTATGTGTTAACAGCTGTCACACATAAAATGATTTAAAGTGCTAGATGAGATAAATTTCTGTCATGGTGAATCTTCCAATACTTTTCCTTTATAAGCAGCAGTGCAGTGGTACATTTGGGAATGTAAGTGATCATGACGCCAGTCCAAACATAAAGAGAGTTCAAAAATGCAGGCAAAGGTCCACCAGATCAGTCCATATTCATAAATAAGCAGTAGGTCTTTTGTAAAGTTAATGGCTCTTAGTTCAAAACAATCCACTCTCAGATACTTTGTAGTTCGGCAGATATATTGCAAAGTTATACTGGAAAATACATTTCTTTGTCAGCTGCTCTGAAAATTGCAATTAAGTTTAGAGGAAACAGGAAAGCTGAGGAGAGATGATAGATGTCATAGTCCCTGCTATTGAGAAAGTTCAAGGGCTTCACTCCTTCAAGCCCTGGCTCCACTATAGAACTGTTTGTAATTTATATACTGTATTTCTTTGTATCAAGGAATGAGCAGGTGATGAAGGGATGAGGGAATCAAGAAACATACAGTAAATTCAGTATTACTCCAGGAGCTCTGTAAATGGTGCTGTGTCCAGTTTCCCCTTGCAAAACAACATAGTAAATGAGCCAAGGAACCATGTTGTGAAACATAGGAACAAACTGTTTTCAAAAGCAGAATCTAAAGAAACAAAAAAGGAGGCAAAACATGTGGCACTTTATAGACTAATTATTATATTTTAATGTCAGCTTTCATGGACAAGTCCACTTTGTCAGACATATGGAAAAAACATTAAAGTCTCTTTAATGTTTAAATAGTAAGATCCTGGTTCAGTCTTGAACCATCATGGTCTTCTTCATGACATACTGAGAGCAGTGGAAGGATTAGAGGCGAAGGACAAAGAAGGGAGATGTAATTAATATAATGTCAGCTCACGGGCGAGGTGTCCATAGTCAGAGGCCAAGAACTGTGTAAGGTAACATAATTGTAAAAGCTGAATTAAGAGGAATTAAAAATACAAATGTGAATGTAAACAAAATTTCTGCGAGTGAGGAAACAACTGATGGCAATGCCTAAATGGGAGAAAGGAAACATGCAACAATTTAGAAAATTTGTAGACTAAGCTCAGTTTGTTTTTTAAGCTGTATTTTAAAGAGCATGAGTGTATCTCTGCATAACCCCTTCTCTAAGAAGACGCAAATGCAATAATGAGGAAAAGAAACAATGTAGGAAAAGCAGGTGAATCTTTCTAAAATCAGATGGAACAATTTTTTAAAGTATGTTGCATGCTTCTAATTTTGCTGAAAGCAGCTGCTTCCAGTTTGTTATATTCAATTTAAATATTTTATGCTATTAAATATAAGATGCATTGAGATAATTCTGCTGAAAATTCCTTGAGATAATGTTTTAGTATATAATGATAGCATAAGCATTCTAGAGATTAGTAAATGTAAAGCTTTTTTCCTCAACAAAAGGAAAAAAGAGGTGGGAACCAACACACCACATATTCATAACTAAATAAAGCAAAAATTTATTTATTTATTTATTTATTTATTTATTTATTTATTTATTTATTTATTGTCATTGTAAGTATATACACAGTACTGTGTCAGTACTGTGTACCCATACAATGTAACCCATACAATGAAATTCACAGACATCCAGAGACCAGACACATGCACACACATAAAATTCCCCAAACACTCCCCACCCATAAAGACAGCGGAAAAACAAAGATATAGTGAAGGAGAAGGAATGTTCCCCCAAGTAAATCTGTGCTCTAATATGGAGAGTACAGACAGACAATCCCAAAAAAGTCTGAATGATAAGAGCCTCAAGGAATCTTATTTCTGTAAGACAGAAATGTGGGTGGGTGAGAGGACCTGACAGCTGTAAGCCATCCAGCAGATCCCGTTATCTTAATATTCACTGAGCTATGTTCACATTTGCACTGCCCCAGGGGAAATTTTGTGATATATTTTATTATGTGGAGTGTCGTTGTCCAATGTTGATTTTGTGGTTTTCTTAGTGTGTGATAGCTGTAAGCAGTCCAGCAGATGCAATTATTGGAAAATACCTTCTTAAGGTAGCAATGGGATCCAGCATTTATTGTCCTGAGAACAATTCCATCTATGTTTTGTTCAATCCTTGGTGTAAAGGTAACTACCATGTCCAAAGGCTTTATCTTCTATTACTACTGTGCGTGGAGTCTATGTGAGTATGTGAGTGAGAGTGAGTGAGTGAATGAGTGATAAAAAGATGTGTCTCTCCTCTCCTCATAAAAACAGTGAAATCTCACTCTATGATAATTCCCAAAGTATAACAGTATCTAATAAGATTATCAGGCTGTCCAATACTGTTTTTTTTTTTTGAGTGTGTGTGATTTTATTCTTCTGCCAGTCACAATATAATCATTTTACACATGAGTAAATAAAAAACATGGGTACAATACTCAGTATTCTGTCACTGCAAACAGAGCTTACAAATTCCTGAATTTGAGCTCTTTCTATTCAGATTTATTTTAAAAATGGCTATCAGTTATAACATCTATATATAATTCCCAGTAACATACATAATATGGCTATGTTATACCAGTTATTGAAAGTAAGGCATTATTTCACTCAAGCTCTGACTGGGGGCTTCACACAAGCACTTGGTTGTCCAGTGTAAGAAACAGGTGGCCTTTCACTTGATCTAACATGGTTCTTATAGCAGGGTTAGGAAATACGTGGTTGTAAAATGTGCTGGTTCTTGTTTCCTATCTCGCATTCCAGGATGGTTTGTTTTGTGATTGGTCATTGGAAGGCGAGCATGGACTTAATTTTCAGTTCTAATTTCCAAGGCATGTGTCTCTCAAAAAATTTCAACCTGGACTATACCTACTGGCTATTTTGCCAGACACCTCCCTAAAAGAACTGAAGATATGATGAGACTTGGCTGACAAGACTGACAATTAAGAAACTTTCAACAGTCCTGCTTAGGCCTTTCTTGAACCACAGTTCTACTAAAGCACTGGTTCTTAACCTTGGGTTACTCAGGGGTTTTGGACTGCAACTCCCAGAAGCCTTCACCACCAACTGTGCTGGCTGGGGTTTCTGGGAGTTGCAGTTCAAAAACATCCGAGTAACAAAGGTTAAGAACCACTGTACTAAAGCAAAGTATATTCTTCTTGTGGATCTGTTTGATAATTAACAGCTCAGGCTGTGTTTTTAGGAGTTTCAAGACACCTGATTGGTGGAATAAATGGATCTTCTGGCTGCTTTCTTTCTGCCAGTGTTTTGTCCTTCCTCTCTTTTTGGGCTCCACATTCTTCCTTTACAGAGAAATCAATTTGGCACTTTTCCTCTTGAGTCATTGATACAGGGTGGCCCACTGTATTTCAAACAGGAAAAGAATTATGGGAATATGCTCAAATAATTCAACAGTAGAAATACATATAGCCATCCATCCAAACTGCTTTTGGACATCTGTAGTTGGAAGATGGCAGCCAGGCCACAAATTTGAATTCAAGTTCTTCCATAATTTTATATGAATCTCTACCAGACTCTCTTGGCATTTGAAAGCCAGAGATGTGGTGTCACACCAGTCAGAAAGTGTTGCCTTTCAGCCTGAGTTTTGGTCAGCTGTATGAAAAAGTGAATAATACATTATGTGTTTGTTTTAGCGGATTCTGTTTTCATGGCGGACAATGATGAAAGAACTGAGTATGTGCTAAATGATACTGGTTATATCTATGTTGGATCAACAAAAAACATACGAGGCAGGCCTTGGAATTTTGGACAGGTAAGAGATTGCATATTTCTCTTTATTTATATACAAACACACACTTCTGTTTCATTTAATTAAGTGGCATGAATGTAAAATAATGTGTTATTATGTACCATCAAGTCACTTCTGCCTTGGTGACCTTCACAGGGTTTACAAGGTATGCCAGATGTTCAAGTAATGGTTTAATATTGCTGTCCCCCAGTAGGGTTTGGAGAGGATTGGCGTGGTCTAAATAGGGTTATTTGAGGTCAGGGGGAGGAGCAATATGCCATTTGGAATTATCTTTGCATCCAAATGGCATACTGACCCCAAACAACTCCATTTAGTCTGGCTCTTTCCACTGTCAATTTCTGGCTTAATAAACAAGCCATTTTAGAATCTCGACAAATTGAACATTTCCTCTGCAGAGGGGCAGGAGGAAATTGTTGTTTGCCTCTGCTAGACCATCACTGATGCACTGAATCACTTAAAATGTATTTTGAAAGTGCTTTCCTTGCCTTGTGTATAGTGCAAATGAAAAAATTGCTTGCAGCGACAGTTTCAATTAGCACTTCACAAAAAATCCAAAGAAAATATATTTAATTTAACCGAAGTGATTCAGTATATCAGTGATAGTCTAGCAGAGGCAAAAGATAATAATTTCACTTCCATTCAATTTCCTCTGCCAGGGAACAGGGGGAGTGTTTAATTTGCTGATATCCTGACGTGTTGTGCTCATGAAGCCACTTCACAATACCAGAAATTGACAACAGAAGGTGCCTTGGCAGCTTTGACAGCTGCAAGGCCTGATTTTGGTCCATCCCCAGCACATACTGGAAATGAACCCCACCAAAAAGAAGAAGAAGAAGAAGAAGAAGAAGTCCCTGAGAAGTGCTCAAAATATGTGGGTAGAAGCACTCTAGGGACAGATTGGTTTTCTCTAGTGGTCAATCTGATCATTGAACAAAAGAGCAAACCAACTCCGCAGCACACCAAACAGTAGGACAAATGCCTGTTTGATTGAACCCCAACTATCATTTAGTTCTTTCCTTCCCAGAATTGTCCTCCATGACAGTAATTACATGTCACAAATGTTATGATGTAGCCTTACATGAGAATTGGTGCTATATTATCCTTCTTTTCTCCCACCCCCACCCCATCTTGAATCATGTCTTAAATTATAACTAACTAGATTGGCAGGAGGAGTATGTGTGTGATTCATTTGTTCAATTTTTTCAGAATTTCTCAGTACAAGAGGGTTCCCAAAAATGATGCATACCCACAAATTTCACAACAGAATATACATTAATATGGTTTCTGGAGAGTGGGAAAGAAAAAAGTGTCTTTTCCACCTTCACACCTGAAATCACTTTGTGTGAGTCTAGAGAAGGGAGTTTTAAAACTATAGCCTGTCTCAGCAATAACTCCCTTGCCAGCTAACTTGCTGATGCCTCTTTAATTCCCACCACCACCAAAACCAGTCAAGGAATCATGGTATGGGTGGGTGTCTCAAGTGTGCACTGTGTGCAAAGAATTTTGTCTAAGCATTTTTGTCATATGACCATGTAGATAATCATGAATACGTTAAGCTTTAGATTCTGGCATGGGGTGCTTTCACATTTAGAGGTCATAGTGCTTCTATCCAAAGTAGCACTATTCCATCTTTTTCATTTAACTGATTTTTTTTCTGTTAAGAAAAAGACAGAACAAGCAATAGGAAATCATGGGAGGTTTCCAAACTAAAGATGAATGAAACAGGATGATTGTTCATTAAAGGCCTTGGTTGGAAATACCTTCTGAGTAGCACACCCAAGTAACATCATTACATTAAAAACCCAAATACACACACACACACACACACACACACACACACACAAATTGTAGCTTATTCCTATCATTGGAGGGGTAAGAAGATAGAGGCGTGCTTCTGGCAATTTTCAGTGGGTGTTTTGGCCTTTAAAGGCTGAATTAATGTCATGTTCTATAATAAATATACTGTACTATGCTTTATGCATTACAAGAGAGCCATTTATATTCAAATATGATGTCTGCATAAACTCATTTCTGTAATTATCAGCACTAGCCTAGACGTTACTGTATATGCTGATTAAACATTATTCCCTTCTGAGCAGCAATGATGATTTCAGCCAATCACTTTTTTCTTAGATGTCAAAATAGCACAGTTCACATTTGAAATCCCTATAAAGAATTTAGATTACAACAGCAGCTGCATTGATTAAAGGGAAGGGAATTTTCCAACTACAGTACGAGCAATATAATGATGGGCAAACTATATGATTTCTAAAACAGTTTGAGGAAGACGTTTTGGATTGCTGCATGTACCTGCTAGACAAGAGCCAGCTGAAGCTGAATGCTAGAAAAGATCCTGTGATCATCTCTAGGGTCATGTCTGCTTTGGTATGTTCATCAATAAATACTTTAACACAGATTGCTGTATTTTAGATCATGGGGATGAAAACTGTAAAGCTATACCTTAGTTATTCAGAGCCAGTTCAAGGGATGCCTTGCTCCCCAGTCATGGTTGCTACAGAAGCATATAACAAAAGAATTAAATTAAATTAAAAATCATGCGACAAGTAATAGCATAAGTACTATTCTCACACTGAGTGTTGTACAGTATCAGATGGCGACTTTGGACTGTTGCATGTTTTTTTGTGTAGAACGGTGCAACATGGTAGCACTGGCCAAGTCTTGCGGTGAACAGCAAGTATCTGGCAAGAACAGGTCTAAGCAGAATGAAGAGTCTCAGGGCAATCAAAGATGGTTCCTAGGAAAACCAGCCCCCTTTTTGCCACCAAAGTTTCCTTAAATATCTAGGCAGCATTTGGAAATATTAGCTTTAAGACTACAACCCTCATGCTTTTGCTGAAGAATTATGGCAGCCCAAAAGCTGCTGTACTTTTAAAAGCTTGCTGTTACTGACCTGCACTAAAGTCAAGAACATCTCTGCAAAGGAGCGGAAGATAAGTTCCTCCTTAGGTATTCTCATCGGGTTGGTTGGCAACATCAGATAAGAGATTTCAGCCAACCAGAGAGAAAGCATTTTTGGCTACAGCATCCTCCTTATGGAACTCTCCCCAGGGAAACACAACACGTACCTGTTATGTTAGCTGTTGTTTTGTGCTGCAGTATACTGGGTTAAACAGAGGGAAAGCACCTAAAATGTGGAGGTAATTGTCTGGAGATAATCTTAATTTCAGAAGCATTTTCTCCAGTGTTTAGACAAGGCATGTGGTATATGCTAATGAAATTATTGGGCTGGAGACAGGACAGAAATTATGGATTGACCCAATGAATCTATAGATGCTGTCCCACTGTGTCTTTCAGTTAAAATGACCAGTAGATTGGTCACATTCATACAAAAATGTTGTAGGACATTGGTCTTTTTGATTCAATGTTATAACTACCCAAATCGGCTGCACATCCCTGTTTATCTGAATAATAAAAGTCTCCTGCTTTGCAGGTTAAAAGCCCAGAGTGGCTTCTATAGGTGAGTTGAGAGGAGTCCGTTGGGTGTTCGTCTAGCAAAGGTTCCACAGTTACAGAGGTTTTCTCAGAGGACAGTGGAGGAAGTCAGGCTGTATGGATCTCTGTTCTTCACCTGTGTTTTAGGTTAATTCTGATGATGATCGTGGAGTGCTTTTTGCAAGCTGGTCTGGACACTATCAAGGTGGCACCTCTCCTCTGGCCTGGACGGGAAGTGTCCCAATTTTGCAGCAATATTACAAAACAAAGAAAAGTGTCTTTTATGGTCAATGCTGGGTTTTCTCTGGAGTGCTTACCACAGGTAAGGCACACCTCTGACAGGCAATTGTTTCTTCTGTCACTTTTCCTAAATTTGCTAATGAATTTGTTTTGATGAAAATAATGCAACATGTATATGGCTAGAAGCATCATAACTTGGAGTATTAGGTAGTGGGAAATATGACAGATGGCCTGTTGTTTTTATTTGTAGCATTCCCAGAAACGTGGTTGGCCACTCTTGGATTCAGGACTAAATGTTCTTGGTTTGATTCAGGAGGTTTAATTTCATCCTCTTCTGAAACTGTAACATAGAAGATTCACTGAAATCACTCCCCCCCCACTTAAAGGCCTGTGGCATCTCAAGTCTGGTATCCTATATCCAAAGAGCAGTGGCGTCTCATCCCTTTTGTGCCATTGGCCATTGCTTAGAAGGCCCTCTGAAAGAATCATGAGCCATGCATCTTGCCGAAGGAACCATAAAACAATTTAGAGTTGCTATCCTTCTCTATATTTCAGTGATGCGCAGTCTCGGCATTCCTGCCAGAAGTGTGACCAATTTTGCTTCAGCTCATGATACAGAAGAGAATCTTAAAGTTGATGTTTACTTGAATGAAAAGGGACAACGAGTGGACTCGCTGACAACAGACTCTGTTTGGTAACCATTGCTACAGATTGCTAATTGATTGTTATAATCTAACTGCTCTCTTTTAACATTACTAACTAAGCTTTTCTGGAACTGTCAGCAGCATTATTGAACAGCATTACTGGATACTTCCAACTTTCAATTCTTGAGCAGAGAACACAATTAAAATTCCAGAGTTCCGAAATACTGGCCAGCATCTTCTTGCCATTTGTGCAAGGTTTGCACAACCAGTTGTGGCTCACTGCAGCTAATTGATGAAGTGCCCGTCTCTGCCTTGGTCGCATACTTAATGCCCTTTCTGATGAATCTTACACAGAAACAGTTTGGTGTTAACATCTGCCTTTTCAAGATAAATTCTAACTAGGAAAGTTGTCATTTTGTGTAGTGATTGTAATAATTCTGGGTGGCATCCAGGAAAAACGACAACATAATGATCAAGAAATCCCACCAGATTTCTCACAAGATTTCTTGGAGGGGGGAAGGGAAAAGTCTTGCACAGCAAAATCTTGTTGGAAAGAGAAGAGAGTCATTCTCCCCCCTTTACAGGAACCTGCAAGATTCATATTGCTGTCACAAGATCCAGGATTCCCAGGACACCTTACATTTTACTGTCATTCTTTGTATGTGTGCGTGTGGGAGTGGAGGGGAACCCACATGGAACTCAGGTTCTTCCAGATGGAGCATTTATACTCTTTTAAATTGCCTGTTAAGCACTGATCTTAAGAGTAACTCCCTGGACATCCAGACAACATTCATCTTACCTCATTAAGTACAGTGTTTTTTTACCCATGAGCTTCCAGACTGGTCTGTCTATCTATCTATCTATCTATCTATCTATCTATCTATCTATCTATCTATCTATCTATCTATCTATCTATCTATCTATCTATCTATCTATCTATCTATCTATCTATCTATCTATCTATCTATACACACATACACACACATATATATATATACACATATACACATATACACATAGATATAGATAGAGATAGATAGAAAGAGATAGAGATAGAGATATACAGTATATAGCTATAGCTATAGCTATAGATATAGATATAGATCGATCTCTCTCTCTATCTATCTCTCTATCCATCTCCCCATCTCCCCCAGAACTGCAGGTGGGTATGTTTTGTCCCTCATCATGTTTCTTATTAAAGGGAGTAGAGAGGGAAGAAGAGGAACAAGTCACTGTAATAAATGTAACGTCTAATATGCTCAGTGATCTTGTAGAAATAAGATTGTGATTGTGAAGTTTTACACAAGTGAAGCTTCTTACAGACCGAATCTGTCCACAGACTGAGACATGCTGTTATTTCTGCTTTCCTCCTTTCCATTCTCTAAATTTCCAAGGTAAGTTAAATCTTAGGCAAAAGCTAACGGCATTTGGGCACAGGTCCTAGCATGTCTAGTGAGCTTCCGTTACCACGTGTTAACAAATGACAGGCAGAGATAAGACCAGGCTGTCCGGAAGACCTCTTACATCTTTTTAAAATACTGTAGTGTATTTTGTTCTTTCCTACATCTTCAGTACACTATAACACCTCTGCAGAAGTTTTTTTTAAAATTTCAGTTATTCTTTCAAGTACTGCTTAAGAAAGCACATGCTTTGCTTGGAAGATGTCCCAGATCCAAGTTGGGCAGCAGAGCGGAAATCTCTCTCTGTCTAAGACTTTGCAGAGTCAGAGGGCCTAGAATCAGATTTCCATAACCTGGACCATACAGATTGGAGAAGACTGGCCTAAATAGGCCAACAGCTTGATAAAGATACAGTATATTCATGTTTGTTTATTCACCATTGCTGTGGCTTGCATGCACAGTTAACATAAATCAAGTTCCCAATTATTTATTGATGTCTTCATAAACAAAAGGGGGCAGGGACTGTGTGGCCCTGCAGCTGTAGTTGGACTACAACTCCCATCTGCCCTAGCCAGCAGAATCTAGACTGATAGAAATATATCTGTGAAGATGCGCAGTCATCCAGGTGAGGTTATCTGGAAGCTGAGTCATGGCAACTGAAGAAGCTACTTGGATGAGTAATGAAACATTTCAACCTACCATATTTTTCTGTGTATAAGATGATACTTTTTATCTAAAATATTTAGACTAAAAATTGAGGGCTGTCTTATACACAGAAGTAGGGGGAAGAGATCAAAGCACTGTGGGATCTTTGATCGCTGCTTTACCTGCCACTTCCTAAACCTCAGGGGGCTTAGGAAGTGGAGGGGAAAACCAGAGATGAAAGGGCTGCAGGATCACAGCCCTTTGATCCTGCAGCCCTTTCACAGCTGCTTTCCCTCTGCACTTCCTAAGATCTTTGATCCTGCTTTCGTGAGGCTTAGGAAGTGGAGGGGGGAAACAGCTATCAAATTTTCTAATTTGGGGTTAGAAAAGTGGGGGTCGTCTTATACATTGGGTCATCTTATATATTGAAAAATACGGTAATAAGAAGTCCAGTTGCCATGACTCAACTTCCAGATAGGCTGAGAGACCTTACTGCTTCATTGCATTTCAAAGGCCATACAGTAGTTGTCCATCTCCACCATGCATTCTACTACATGTCCTATTGATATAGTACATATACGTATTAGATTTAGTATACGATGCTGCAGTTGAGATCCATTTTTTATTTCCATTACTTAAACTTAACTGCCCACAGGAACTTCCATGTGTGGAATGATGTCTGGATGAAAAGGCCAGATTTGCCAAAGGGATTTGATGGCTGGCAGGCAATTGATGCCACACCACAGGAAAGGAGCCAAGGTAAGACTTTATACATGAGCACAAGCAAATGAAAAGTTAACATGTTGGAGATATTAGAACTGGGTTATCTTTGCCAAACCATGTTATTACCATACAGATTTCCATTATTCTAAGCTGGTGGTTTCCAACCTTGGGTAACGCAGGTGTTCCTGGACTGCAGCTTTCAGAAACCTCAGCACCACTGCTAGTGGTGAAGGCTCTGTGGTTACCCAAGGATGGGAACTACTGGTCCGGGCAGTAGAGGAGCTAAAGCGATGGTATGGCCTCCATGGAGATACGTTTGCTCAGTACTCCAGAAAGCAGCCTGCCTTTATTTCTTCAACATTTCTCATTAAAAGTGTCAAACAGTCTTTGTGGCAAGTGTGTGTGTGTGTGGGGGCAAGGTCTTAATGTGAAGGCATCTCAGTTTATAGAGCATGTTCAGCAAGGCATTAGGAATCTCTTTTTTTCACTGTGAATGTTAGCCTCTATATCTGACTTTGTTTCTATAGAGATTGAACAAAATTCCTGACAGCCTCTACCATGCTGGGAATTGCAACCATGGCGACCACCAGAAGTGAAAATGCAAAATAAGTGTGGGACTATTTATCAACTCTTTCATCTGACAGAATAAGGGAAGGCAGAGAGAGGCACCTTTGAAACCCAAGTAGTGTCAGGGGACCAAAGAAATGGGGAGAATGAAAAATGAGTGTGAAGGAAGGAATATCATTAGTAGCCTCTGGAAAGCAATTCAGATACTGACCTTATACAGGGGAATACTATGTGCCAAAATAATTTCTAGCAGCAAACTACACATACTTCTGGGCTCTGCAGTGTAAAGGGGTGTAGCTTGGCATGTGTAGTCATCTGTATTAAATAAAATATTTTATTTTATTATATTATTTATAGTTGCAATCTGACATCACCATGTCCACCACATGAGGAGAAGTTAGGCTTATTGATTATGAGAATGTCCGTAAAAATTGTCTGTTTCCTCAGCAGGCAAAGTCACTGGGCACAAAGAAGTATTGGAAATATAAGAAGCATATGGGAGAACTGGAATTCTGGCAATTTTATTTATTTATAAGATTTTTTAGCCACGCCATTACTAATGGTCTCTGAGCAGTGTGCAACAACATTAAAACTTTAGAAAAACAGTAAACCATTAAAATACCCAATATTATAATACTACCCCATATTAAAACAGTCAATTTATCATTAATAAATACTGCTGCTCATACAGCCAGCTAAAGGATACTATTTAAATAAAATGCTGGCTAAACAGAAAGGTCTTTGCCTGGTGCCAAAAAGCCAAAATTGTCAGAGCCAGGTGGATATCTATAGGGAGGGCATTCCAAAATTGGGGGGCAATAGCCAAGAAGGCCCTATTTCATCCCCTCAACTCTTTCAGGGATGGCGCCTTCAGAAGGGCCTCCCTTTTTGATCTTAGAATATGAGCAGACTCGTATGGAAGAGGGCGGTCCTTTAGGTCAGGGGTTCCCAACCCCTGGTCCGCAGCCCTGTGGCAGTCCATGGCCTGGACCGTGGAGCCAGATCTCCCACCCACACAGCCTTCACACATGTGTGTGAGTATGCCCATGCCCCTTATGAACACCCTGCCCCTTCGTGCATGCACACAAGTGGGCCCACATGCTCCCTGAGCACCTCTGTCCCTTCATACACCCTGTGTGAGTGCCCTGGCCCCTTCATGCATGTGTGCAAGTGCATGCTCACCTGCACGAATGTACCCCGCCCCTTAGCGCATGCACGTGAGCGCAAAGGGGACCTGCCTTCCCCACGCACGGACCCCATCCTCCCCCAACTGGTCCATGGTACCAAAAAGGATGGGGACCACTGCTTTAGGTAACCAGGTCCTAAGCTATTTGTGGCTTTATATGTCAAAGTAAGCACTTTGAATTGGGCCTGAGCAGCAACCGGCAGCCAGTGTAATTTTTTCAGAACTGTTGTGATATGAGTCAGCACAGCGGGACCACTTGCCAGCCGTGCAGCCCAGTTCTGTGCCAGTTACAGTTGCCAGACCATCTTCAAAGGCTGCCCCATGTATAGAGCATTGCAATAGTCCAGTCTGGTTGTTACCAATGCATGTGGACACTGAGCCCACCTGGGCTTCCAAGGTCAGACCTGGGTCAAGGAGCACCCCCAAGCTGTGAACCCTGTCATTTAGGGGGAGTGTAACTCCGTCTAGGGCAGGGAAATGGCCCTTTAACCTATCTAGCAGAGCACCTGCCAGCAACACTTCCGACTTATCTGGATTGAGCTTCAGTTTATTCAACCTCATCCAGTCCATTATCGAGTCCAGGCACAAGTTCAGAACGGTGACTGCCACACCTGGATTGGTAGAGAATGAGAGGTAGAGCTGGGTGTCATCAGCATATTGCTGACTCCTCAGCCAAAACCTCCTAATGACCTCCTCCAGTGGTTTCATGTAGATATTGAATAGCATGGGGGACAGTATAGAACCCTGAGGAGCCGCCATGGATAAGAGCTACTGTCCCCCAGCACCACCTTCTGGACCTAATCAGCCAGGCAGCAGCAGAACCACCATAAAACGGTGCCTCCCATTCCCATCCCAGCCAATCTGTCCAGAAGGACCCCATGGTCAATGGTGTCAAAAGCCACTGAGAGGTCCAGGAGAATCAACAGGGACGCATTCCCCCATCTCTCTCCCAGCAAAGGTCATCAAACAGGGCGACCAAGGCAGTCTCCAGCCCATAACCCGGCCCGAAACCCAGTTGAAATGGATCTAGATAATTCATTTCATCCAGGAGAGCCTGGAGCTGCTCAGCCATTTAGCTACTACTATTATTATTACTCTTATTTATCTGTCACTAATGGACATAGAAATAACTACGTGGATGGGGCCTAAATACAAATGAGGAAAAAGCTCCCTGAATATTCATTTTTCTCTGTAGGGATTTACCAGTGCGGCCCTACTCCAATAAGTGCCATCAAAAAGGGAGAAGTTTATCTCCCTTATGACTCCAAGTTCGTTTTTGCTGAAGTGAATGCAGACAAGGTCTTTTGGCTTGTGAAGTATGAGAATGGGACTGAAAAATACATCAAACTACGTGAAGAAACCAAGGTGATAGGAAAGAGCATCAGCACCAAAGCAGTTGGAAAGGACACCCGTGAAGATATCACCAATCAATACAAATTTCCAGAAGGTATCATTTTTTCTTTACTTTTTCCTGTCTGAGGAAAAACATTTATCTTCCATAATCAGTAGTAATGTAGGACTTTCATATAGAAGTTTTAATTGTCTGATAAGGTTAATGACCAGAGATGAGGTAATTCCTGCATGTGTTACTTGTAGGTAAGGGAAAAGATTAATGGATGGGAAAGGAAAGGTAGCGATCCAGAATCATTCTGATGTGCAAATTATGATGTATTTTGCAAATTTACTGTTCAAACTTTTGATGCTCTGTACTCTTATGCTGTGAAGTACCTTTCCATTTTATTTTTCTATAGAATACTTTAAAAGAAATGTAGTAGTCTGAAGCTTTAAATGAGAAAGCTGCTTCACAGTGAAACATACATGTATCAGCAGAAGTGGGACCACTTTCAGACCTGTTAAGTAATTAACAGCAGTAAGCTTTTGCTTCACAATCAAGGGCCCTTCCCACATGATCTGAAGCTTACTATGTTTGACAGGATTCAGGACTAGAACTCAATCCCCCTACCTTAAAATCACTTTACTTTGCCCCCCCCCCCGGCCTGAACATCACAACCCAACTGCCAAAATACCACCTACAGAGACAGTCCATGTCTTTAGAAGAATATATCATAACTACCAGTAACCATATAGAAAAAAAGCTCATTCAAATCATTCCAGCTTGGAAAGTAGAAGCCCCCCTGCAGCAGAGAGAGGGAGGAAGGCTACTTTGAGAGCAAAAAGGGCTGGACCGACTCAAATCAACCTTTGCATCATGTGGTCAGTAAAAGGATACTTTGAATTCTCCTGTTTTATAAGCAGAGTAAATGCCATGGTATTTGACCATGAAGTCACACTCAAATGCTGTGGATAGATATTTGTCTAACCTGAGACAATGAGAGAGAGAGAGACTTATGTATCATAATAGTTAATATTGAGTATCTTGGATTTGACAAGGCATCTGACAATTGAAATTGTTTCTAATTACCTCAGAGTTTATTGTTTGCTATCATTACTATCTCTCAGATACTCCGGAGGAAAGGAAAGCTGTGGAAACTGCTTGCTACTACCTGCAGTCTTGCTGTCTGGGAACTTCAGAAGATAAATCTGAGTCCCCCAAGGCTGACTTGAAACTTGGGATAGAAGGAGAAAAGGCATTGTGGCCAGGGCAGCCCATTGACTTTAACATTGTTGTAAAGAATGATTCTATGGGCTTGTGGACAGTCAATGTTGCTGCCTCTTGTCAGCTGGAAACTTATACCGGGAAAGTAGAGGCCAATCTTGAAAGCATTAAGCAGACCATCAACACAGAAGGGAAGCCAGGTATGCGTCCTAAAAATCTGATGTCATGTTCCTATATGTCATGTTACAACGATGAAATACATTTCTGCTTTTCTAAAGGAAGAGGGCTCAAATTTGGGCCCACATTACCTCTTTCTGTGAGGTACATAGCTGTTCATGGCATGAAAGTGAACAGGGTTGCATTTCCCTGTGGGCAGAATCTTTCACAAGACATGCCCTGTTTGTTTATAATGTTTTCTCCTTGAAAATGCAATAACAGAGAAGAAAAGCCATGATTTCTTCTTTGCAGTCCTCTTTCTGCTGATATCTCCTCTTCATATGTCAAAGGCAATGCCCTTCTTTAAAAAATAATACCCACCGCTGAGATACCATGTTCTCTTCTTGCCTTGTGTCATGTTTCTTTCTCTAGCTGTCTCTTTTGTTGTTGTTGTTGTTGTTGGTGCAGTTATTGAGATCCCTGTGAAGATAGCAGCTGATGCTTACATCAAATCGCTGATGGCTGTAGAGGATGAACTTTTGATCAAAATTAATATTATTGCTGAGATTCAAGAAACCAATGAGAAGCTCACAGAAGAAGTAACTTTAAACTTCCAGTATCCACCTCTCAGAGTGGAGGTAAGAGGCTAAATAAAAACACAACCATGATGACATATGGTAGTGGTTGGTATTTATAAAACCTAAGAATTAATAAGCTGGAAATGACAACAACAACAAAAAAATAAGTCAACTGAGAAGAACTCTAGAAGAAAATAAAATGTTCTATTTAGTTTTTTAAAAAGAAGAGATAGCTGGCACAAACCCTGGAGACAGGGTTTGTTCCTTTAACACAGCTCTTCACAGGTGGAGAAAAGAAATATGAAATAAACATGCTGCCAAGAGGTATTACAGAGAAGTCTAATCATCAGGGGTTACTGTCAATCTAGGCCACTGAACTGATTCATTGCAGGTTGGGCAGAATCAAACACTGAGTTGCTTGGAGCTCATCTAGACGGAGCATTTATTCCTCTCTGCTTCATGTCAGCTAGTGCCACTTAAGGACAAAAATCCTAGCATGATCTGTATTTATTACCCCACTTCTCTTCCGTCTTAAGAAATCAAAATCTCTTAAAGAAATGAGTCAAAAATCTTCTTAAAAGCTTGAAGAAACCCTAATGAAACCAATTAAAAACCTTTATGATGCTCTTCTCTGCTGGATCTTTCCCCACTTTGCTTTAGCACAGTGGTCAGGAAACAGGGGTAAATTACCCCAAATGGGATAAAAATGAAAATCCTGGGGGTAATGAGGATGGTCGCGGCAGTGCAACCGTCCTCATTACCCCCAAGCATTTTGTTTCCGACAATACTGTGTGTAGGCAGGCATTCCATCACGGGGAGAGCGAGCCCTGGTGAGGAACAGCACAGGGCACCCACCTGCCCACCTTGCCTCCAAAGTGGGGGGGAAGGCGGTGGACCGGGCCAGCTGGACTCTTTGCCTGGCAGAGCCCTGGCCAGGGCTCTCCTTCCTGACCACGCCCGCCTGCCCAGTGCGCTGGCAAGGAGGCCCCTTCCCGCCCCGCCTCACCTGAGCTCATGGCTGTGGACCTGCTGGCCCGGTGGTGCCCGCCTCCCCTCGCCAAGGATGTGCTTTCCCGGCAGTGTGGCAGCTCCAGACTGGCTGCTCAAGCAGTGGCTGCAGGTCCCGGGCAAGCGCAAAGGTAGGGGAGGGGTCGGCCACAGATAGCAAGAGCAGAGGGGCGGTGCTGGGAGGTGGCGGGGTAATGTTGACGTATATAATTTTTTTTTGGGGGGGGGTAAAAGATAAAAAAAGTTCCCTGACCCCTGCTTAGCAGATTGAAAGGTCCAAAATACAGCACACATCCACTGCTAATGGACCACAGAAATCAGCTTCCTTCAAAAACCACTGTAAAAAAATCTGATAGAACACCTAGAAATGGTCTTCTGAAGGATTTTTGAGGAGGAGTTTTGGTTTGATTAAGTGAAATAATGCTAAATTGAAAGCTTCTGACCAGAGAAGCTTTTACCTGCCTTGCCCCAATTATATTCCAATTGTTACATTTGCACATATTAGATAACACATATTATGTTCCTGTTTTCATCAACATCATCTGATCTTTGATTTTTATTTCTTTTACAGATGCCAGAAACTGGGAAGATTGATCAAGATTTTATCTGTGCCTTTATTTTTAAGAATACATTGTCCATTCCCTTGGAGAATTGCAAACTCTATGTAGAAGGCCTGGGTTTCTTTGTGATGGAAATATTTGACCAAGGGTAAGGAGAATCTGAATCAAAGATCCTGCCACATAGTGTTGGCCACAGTTAACCAGCCATTTCTGTTTGACCAGACTTTTTGTCTCTCAAGCCCCCCACCTGCTATCTTGATGTGTGCATTCTTTAATTTGTGCCCCAGTCTTTTCTGCAGACTGCACAGAGCCTGGAAATGGCCACCTGGGACTTTTTTTTTCTTTTTAAAGGCACATTGGTTTTCTTTTTTTAATTTTGGCCGTGTTCACACCACCAAAATGTCTCCATGTTTTCTCACGTCTTTAACTCACTGAACAGTTGCATTTTGTGGACGTGTGACATATATCATGTGATGTGTGTTCTAATTGCTTTTTATATTGCTGCAACATTTAGAAATAAATGATGTGCTATGTGTGGCTTTACTTCTTTAGAAGAACAATTCCCTTCTTTTTTTCCCCCCAATATTCCACCACTACCCTTAAAAAAACCCTCTAGCATTGAGGTGATACCTACCACCACTGCCTTGATGCAAGACCTGCTGCTTCTGGAAGCTTCTGGTCAAAACTTTCCAATTGGGTGGGATTCAACTTAGAGGTCCAAAAATACTCCTGGAAGCCACAAGCAGGCTGTGGGCATACTTTGCCCACCCCTACTTAAAAACTGTTGGAGAGTGAGCAAGTAGCAAGACAGGACCTGTGTAAGTTTGTGGATTCAGCCGTTTAAAATTCAGAATGATTACCTGAGCACACTTTCTCCTTTGCAAAAGGAACCATGTCTACTCTTCTTTCTAAAAAAACCCAAGAAAACCTATTAGAGAAGTACTAATAGGAAAGGGAGTAGAAATCCGAGTTCTACCAGAGAAAGTTGCAGGCAACAGAAGTCACAGATGCCTCTTTCATCTCTAGAGTACAAAGGCAAGATGTTTCCCCCTTAGAGAGAAAAGCGAAACCCGTGAGAAAGAATGAACCCTAAGAATAGCAATTTAAGGTTGAAAGAAGGTCACCCTTGGTCAGAATCTGAAACTGATATTTCATCTTCATTTCATGTCATTTCATTCTGTCTCTTAATGTTTGACGAAGTGGACATGTCCACAAAAGCTTACATAAAAATATAATGGTTAGTCTTCAAAGTGCCACATGGTTTTGTCTTTTTTTTTGTATTGTATTGTTTTGTTTGTTTGGATTTCGCCTAATATGCTTGCACAGACTAACATGGCTACCTTTTCCAAGACTTCAAGAAGGTACACACTCTGTATCCTTCTTGAGTGTCAGCTGGGTTGCATTCAGTCACTTTCAACACCTCGAGCAAAAGCCGTCTCACACATAGAAACCAAACTTCCTCCTCCTTCAGCACTGCCCATCTTGAGAATTGTCTTTCCAGTTGGAGAGCTGGAGAAGCAAGTACTTCCTTGAAACTTCATTCAGAGGCTCGGTGACCCTGTTTCTCCAAGAATCGGCACATTTGTTTTTTGAATTTTTTTAAATAATAAATTATCAAGTGTGCATGAAGAAAAAGAAATCTCCTCCTGCTGTACTGAAAGGGAAAACTTGCACAAGGGCTTTTGCATGTGGCTTTTAATTGTGAAGTTTTTTTACTGAGTATGTATTATGCAAGGATTAACACGTGCTCTTTGTATTTTACTTCTTCTCTTAGGGACCTAGCACCAGGAGGAATATTTAAATGCAAAATAGTTTGTGCACCAAAAAAGGCTGGTCTGAAGAAGATTGTGGCCAAGCTGAACTCTACTCAACTAAAAGGGATAACTGTAGAAAAACTCATTTCCATTACTGAATAGGGTCATTTCCAAATATCAACAGGTGGTGTCAGTAGAGGTGTACGCTGTGAATGAGCTTTATTGACACTTGACATGCTGGCAGCCCTGCTGAGAGAGGCAGAGGCCAAATTGTCAAGCTAAAACAGTTTAAGTGGCTGAAGTGTTTTGATTCCTGCTAATGAAACTTTGATCATTCTGATCTTCTCTTGCTTATGTAGAGATTTGACTGCTTGTGGTGACTAAGAATGTGATTCATAAAATCTGGAATAGCATAATGTGATGGTACTGGAAAAGAGCTCTGTTTCCCTTTTTGCAACCCCTCTTTGGTTTTGTGTAATGTCAATATATTTGCCCCTTTGCCAGCTGCTAATTTTGACTTGATTTGCAATGTTTATCATTTGTATGCCTAGCTAGAATATAGTAAATATATACAGTATATTATAAAGATGCATATAACCTTTTGTGTTGTGTTTTTTTTATATATATAATATATCCTTCATTATGTACAGTACCTTGTGCTATTCAGTTTTAACAAGGGCTAACATTTTTCACGTGTAGCCCAGATTTTACCTCAGAAAGTTTTGTTTTCACCATCTAACCTCAAAAAGAACACTTCAGCTGTATCTTCTGCATACTATAATGAGTTTACGTACTAACCATTATTTGTTACATTTCCAATGACAATAAAGATCAGCACTTTATTCTTCTACTGTCTGTCTATTATGCTAGTAATGCCACAAATTTAAAAGGGAACACAATGGTGAAAGTAAAAACATCATACATCTTGATGAAAGATGTTGGTCCTTTTTTGACTGCAGAAGTGATGTGGCATAAAGAGAAAAAGAAACCATTTTAGAAAGATTGCGTATCTATTGATATGTAGCATATTGAAGTGGGGTCTTCTGACTGGTCATCTGCCCAGCCATCTACCCATAAAAAGCCTTTGCTTAGCATCTGTGTGGAGCTAGAACCTAGACTACTCAGTGTATAGCTGCCCTGACTGAGGATCAAAGTCAACACTGCGGGGGAAGTACTGTACAGTACCTATTATTAACGCATTACCTCCCACTCCCCACTGCAACAAGAGGGGTATAAGCAGAGATACATACATCAGCAATCAGTCTTGCATGTTAAGCCCGTGTACTTTCCAGCAGCCAGTCACAAACCATGTTAAATGCAAGATTCATAGTTGAGGAAAATCACATGGTTGAGGAAAATCACAGATGTCTCTCATCACTTGAGGAAGCACCTCTTCAGAAATGTGATAAATGCATTGTCTACTTTGAGTCAACATGTCTGTTGTAACCATATCAGCCAGTCTGGAGTTACAGTCATATCATCTTTCTTACAATTATGGCAAGATGTTAGAGATCATCTGCTTGTAAAAGTCAGGGTGCCCCCACCTCAGTTTTGGCTATTATTTCTTTATTCTGATATGGCTAAAGAGACGATTTCTAATCTGATTACCAGTAAGAAATGAAAAATATTGTGGCTAGTGCAGCTTTATCTGGAGCACTGCCGATCCACAAGCAAGCCAATAAAAAGAACATAAAGTAGATGCCATGTCTACAGGACTGGATTCAGCCCAATCACTTTACAAAATTGTGAACTGATGTGAGGTAAGAATACAGAACAGATTAATTGCTGGCACAAGATACCTCCACACCTTGAAGCTCCCGCATTTTAAACATTCCCACCTTTTATTTAAAATGCTGTCACCAAGTGTCGCTGATCTTGTAATTTCATCGCCTTTGTAATAACCAAGGCATAGTTACCAACTTCCTGATCTTTAGTTTTACTATCACTGCTTGTATTTTGTAAATGAGATTTATGGTTTTTTAAAAGTCTGTTTCTAATAAAAGCACAGTTGCCTCATCTTGATTGATGAGTTCAGGGAGAAATTTTGCCTCTTACTCTTAATGAAAGAGGAAGAGACTGTTGTAAAATAAATAATTACTGGAAAACTAACAATAATCATAGCTTTTCCGTTCTGGTGAACCTATAACTCTGATTACAGAGTTAACATTTATAGAGAAACTCTTGTTTCTCTATTAAAGCCATCCTCCCTCATGCAAACTCTCCTCACTCCTGACTTACTTCATCTCACTTGCATCATTGCTCCTCTCTGTTTTATTGTTACAAATCACTTCTGAGAGGCAGTACTCCTGTCGATCACTGTTTTATTAATTCATTTGAAGTGAGATCTGCAATGGAATGCATCTGTTCGGATTCCTAGCCAGCCCTGCCTTCATTCATGACAATCCACCTCACCCATTCAGGTTTTCCATTCTTATAAACCAATATAAATCTAATGTTGACAGATAGAGTAAGATAACAAATCATATAACAACAGAATATGATAATACAACAATACGACAATATCATCCCAGAATGCAGGACATGCAACAATGAGCTCAAGTTAAAGGAAGTCAGATTTCGGTTGAATATCAAGAAAAACTTCCTAACTGTTAGAGCAGTACGACAGTGGAACCAGTTACCTCGGGAGTTGGTGAGTGCTCCAACACTGGAGGCATTCAAGAAAAAGTTAGATAATCACCTGGCAGGTGTGCTTTGATTGCATTCCTGCATTGAGCAGGGGGTTGGATTTGGTGGCCTTGTAGGTCCCTTCCAACTTCACTTAGCTATGATTCTATGACAATGCGAGACTAAGTAGACCTAAACAATGGCAAGGTGGTGGTGATAATCTAAACAAGAGAGGATGCACTCTAAGGTTTCTTCAAACAACCTAGTTTTTAGCATCCTCTTAAAGGAATAGTTTCCAGTTTCTCGTAAATGTCTTTCTAGCCTCTCTATGAGTGGCAACTCATAGGAGCACAGCCTGCATGGACTGGGTAGTGCAGGCTGATGTTATTTCAACAAATAGTGAGGTCCCAAACCGTGGAGGGTTCTATAGGGAAGAACCAAAACCTTGAACCTGCCATTCTTCTAAAGCTGCCAATGCCTTCCTCGCCTGCATGGATTTTTCCTTTTTGGTTATATACCTTTTGGCTATTCAGACGATGACATCTCTATTTGTAGAGACTGTTAGGATTACAATTTATTTATGAAGTGCCTAAAATGTCTTAGATGCTGTATGACTATTAAAATATGGAGACAGGCTCCACCTACAGGTTTATGTTCTAAGGGAACTAATACATAAAGAAAAGGATATGAGGAAGAAGGAAAACAAATAACACTGTATGGCAAATGAGAAATTTGCAGGAAGGACAGACTTCGGAACAATTTCATGAATGTTGTGTCACTTATCTGATGACCGAAAATTACCCCATGTGACATGCGAACTGTTGCTCTGAGATCAGCTTATCTTATCAGGGTGACACTGTGCTGACCTGGGCAGAAGGGGAGTTCATCATTTAGCTCCCCCCCCCCAATTCCCTACCTCTTCCAGGTGAAAGGGAGGTTTCCATTCCTCTCCACCAGCAAATTAAACATTCCAGCAGGAAGGCAAATGTGTACAGACCTCATGTTAACTTCTTGGCTTTTATCTTTGCGCAGAATAAGGAAGTGCATGTTTAGGTCTAGAAAATATGCCTCTGAGAAGGCCCTGGGTTTATTGGTGTGCAAGGAGTGCATGACAGCTTCCTTTGTCAGATCTTTGCCACGTGCTATAAGCTCAGTAAAGCTGGGTGTTTTTTGTTGTTGTTGTTTGTTTAGTCAGGCTTCGTGCTCTGGAAAGGACACTCCAGCTTTGTATACAGAGTCAAAACAACACAGAAAGGGATTGTCACTCTCGAATTGGCCTTCTCAGCCTCACTAGACGCTGTTCCAAGTCCTCCATACAGAGCACGTTACCATAGTCTCTCGTGACTGAAGGATGCCTAAGTGGTAGTGTTTGTTTTTTTCACCACACAAATGGCTTTGTTTCTTCTTTGGAACTATTAACTATTATTAGGAGTCTTCTGTTCAGAACGGGCATCAAAATTAAGACTTACCTTAACTGGGTGGATAAAAATCAATGATTTTTTTAAAAAAATCAAATTAATTTAAATCATGATTAAATTTTTAAAATTGCCTTTAAATCATCAAAAGTTTCAATTTTTAAAATTTAAATTGTGGCTTATATCAAATTGATTTAAATCAAATCCATCCTGCATCTTAAGTCACATTATAACCAGATGGAATGGCCACTGGAAATTCAGTTCAGAAAGAAGTAATTACATAATAGCTGTTCCAATGGGAACAGGCTGAGTGAGCTGTTTCATCCCTCACAGGGTGTTTTTAGTGTGCACTTAGACACAAATATACAGTCGGAAAAATATGTGCACTTGGAAAAACACAGAAAAAAATTAGACAGGTTATTTATATATATAATACACATAATTTATATATGGGAAGGATGTGCTTGTTTTGTGTAATTAAATGAAGCTGCTCAAACCACATTAAAATAACTTCTTTATTTTGGCCAGAACTTCCTCTTAATCTCCATTAGTACTATAAGTCTGCAGGCCCTATAAAGGTAAAGGTTCCCCTTGACATTTTTAGTCCAGTCATGTCCGACTCTAGAGGGCACTGCTCATCCCGTTTTTAAGCCATAGAGCCAGCGCTTGTCCAAAGACAGTTTCCATTGTCACATGGCCAGCGTGACCAGGGAACACTGTTTTACCTTCCCACCGAGGTGGTACCTATTTATCTACTCGCATTTGCATGCTTTTGAACTGCTAGGTTGGTGAGGAGCTGGAACAAAGCGACGGGAGCTAACTCCGTCATGTGGATTCGATCTTACGAATGGTGGTCTTCTGGCCCTGCTGCACAGAGGCTTCTGCAGTTAGCCTGCAGCGCCACCATGTCCCTCTGCAGCGCCACCACGTCCCTCCATAGCACCACCATGTCTCTCCGCAGCACCCTAAAACAGACACTAAAGCAGAGGTCTCAAACATGCGGCCCGGGGACCATTGCGGCCCCCAGATGATAGTTTGTGGCTCTCGCCTTGCCTGTCCCCCCAAAGCGCCCTCACATCCTCTGCTGTCAAGAGTAAAAAGAAAGCCTTGCCTCGCTTGCCGGCTCTCTCCCAAGACAGCACCTCTTGCACCCTCCATCCAGAACTGCAGCCTGCCAACCAGCCCACCTGTCTGTCAGCTAAGGAAACTCCAGGGCAGCTTCCTTGGGCCCTTGCTCTGCTTGGCGGAAAATCTGATGCGGCCCAGCCTCACCCAGACTCAGCCTCTAGTGGCCCCCAGGTCAATTGAGTTTAAAACCCCTGCACTAAAGCCATCACTGAGGTTGAAGATTTGTGCTTGGCTTTTGAGGTGAAGTGATGGCGCTGGCGCAGCATTTGTGCAGTTAGAAAATCTGCTTTTTAAAAACCTGGACCTCTCTCTTCCCTGAACTAAAGCTAGCTGGAATGGAGAGCAAGATCCAGACTTTGGCAAATTCTTTGATTCAACAGAAACACTTCAATGCAGATTTAATTAACTTTAAGCTTACTGATTTCATTAGAACTGGCTTCTAAGGAACAAATCTTTAACAGCAGGCTGTTTCTTTTCCTTTCTGATTGGAAAAGCACTTGGCACTTTTCACTTTGAACAAACCAACCAACCAACCATTTTTGCAAATGGGAGAGAGGGAAGCATGCCAGCAGAGCCTATCCCAGTTACAGTGTCTCCTTTGCACACAGTCACAACTGTGTTGTGGGGGAAACCACAGGAGCAAAAGGGGGGCAACTTCCTTCCCCCAAATATGTGCTAGTTGGACTGTTTCACTCAGGCCAGTGATTGCCAACCTTGGGTCCCCAGATGTTCTTGGACTGCACTTCCCAGAAGCCTTCACTACTAAGTGTGGTGGCCAGGATTACTCAGAGTAGTAATCCAAGAACATATGGGGACCCAAGGTTGGGAATTATTGATCCAGGACTATGTACCATGTATGCAGGATCATCAGATGCCATCTCTGCTCCAGTGGGTCTAGCTGTATTGTTTCACGTTAGTCATATCTGATGTATGAAACTACTGAATTTATAAATGCTATAGATCCTGTTAAGTGCTACAGGGGTCTCTTGGAAGAAAAGGGGGAAACACCACCACCACTGATAGCCTTACATTTAGCACTAACGCGATAAGAACGCCCAGGGATTCAAACCCAGCCTTAAGAGTTAAAATACGCATAGTCCTGAGCCTTGATGGTCAAATTACATTCACCTTCTCCTATGGTTTTCTTTCTTTTCTTTTAAATCTGAAGTTTTGAATATTTCTTTTGGAATATGAAGACATTAGTAAACTTCAGTAATTTCTTGCCAAACATGAACCGAAGCATTGTTCTCATCCATTCCTAATCTGTACTGTCTGGTGTAGTCTTCAGAAGGTGAGAGACGGACAGCATACTTTACAAGAGCAGAAGCTTAAACTCGATGGATTATAGCCTCTGTGCACACAGGCCGGTGTGAGCAGAAAGAGAGCTCCGGAGAAAGGTCACCGGAGCATAACTGCAACCACAAGAAACACAAGAAGGCAACAGGGACGAGATGAAAATACTGAATTTTAATAAGCACCAGTACTCAGTGGAAGTTAGAAAATGAAATACAAAAAAGCAAAAAAAATGGAAGAGTAAAATTTGTAAATGCATACACTCATTAATTGCATAGAACAGGCCAATGTGCAGCCCAAAATTCCTTGTGAAAACAGAATATTTTTCCACAGTCTAGATTTCAGTACATCATTTATTAAAACCTTTGAACTAAGGCACCTTTCAGCCTACATTATTGCTAGAACAGTAGCATTTCTTATTTAAGACACACCATGGTTTGAACACAGGCCCATTGGTTCACAGTACCATGAACACATTATGAACTTAATACCACAAGTGTATTTCTCGCTTCAGATAAATGCATGAACTCTTATTTACACAAACACTTAATATAGAGCTTTTCAAGGCAGGCTACTCACACAGTAGGAAGCAATACACCTAGTAATGTAAACACCGGATTTCAGACAAAGCGGCTATTTAATCTGAAGTATCTTTTTAGGCTCCATCCTAAAAAACTCTCTAATAGGAGTAGAATAGCATCAAACCTCATTGGGGAAAGAAGGAAACGTCAGAAACTTTGGTTAACAGCAGATTAACTTTGCTATTCTATAAAATAATTTGGTCTCCGTTTGCTACATAAAGCTTTACAAAATGGTTTGGAAATGAATAAGGCACTTTTATTGAGCACAGGAGAAACAGCTCCAGTAAATAAACCAGAACCTCACTTCCTATTTACTGCTTGATTTTTTTTGTCTATTTCCCCCCGATTCTCTTCAGCTGCACACTGAAAAGATGAACACTGAAGAAAAACACAACCAAAATGCAATGCTATAGGAAGACTGACAAGAAGGACACAATGGGTGCTATCCCGACTTGCATTGTGAGAAGGGATCTGCTCTTGAGGGCTGGGAGACTCTCTAACAAGGATGAGACAGCAAGGAGAAATATCAAACAACTGTGTGTATACCTTGTGCAAGTGGAAGGGCCTACTATTTACAAATTACCAATTTGGGATTCAAACAAATGACCAAAACAGCAAGATAACTCAGAAAACATAATCTTACAGACTAAAACTCCTCTAATCCTCTAATCCATATGGCCTTTGTAAAGCCTCTGGCCCTATCCTGGAGATTCTGGGACTTATAGCCTTAAAAAAAAATCAACTTTTCCAACGTCTGGGGAAAAAACAGCCAATTTTTACATTGGCAGCATCATAGCAAAATTCTGCTCATTGCTGGGCAGTTCTTTCTCACTTTAGGGGCCAATCAGTTCTTTGGCAATATATCTAAATGTTGGAATATTTAGCATTATTTAACACTTTTACCGTACTTTTGAACAGAAGAAGATGCTTTGTTGTCCCTATTTATTTTTTATTTTTATTTTTTGGGTTCTATACTGCCCCTTTAGTGTGAAAACTTTCTGGGCAGTTAAAATTTAACATTTTTAAAAACCTAAAATGTGTTTTCATCCAGCAAATAGACAACACAAGTAGTAAGTTTCAAAATACAATAATGAAATTAAGGAACCAATAACTTTTCTCACATGTTTGAAGTAATGAACAGTGTTAAGGGTAATTAGCTCTACACTCCATTTTTAAAGCTCTATGAGCAGCAATTCCTAATAAAGAATCACATAATTATTTGATTTACTCCCCTGTGCTCCCAGTAACCATGAAATTAAAACTCTCATACTGTAGGCACTTGGGCCGGTACGTAGTAGTGGCACTGAAGGCAGGAGAAATTCTCCTAGTAAAAACAATTAATTACTGAACTGAGTGTGATTTTTCCCCTCAGACAATAAACCAGTATGAGCCAAAATCATAGTGAGGAACAGGTTGCTTGGTATGTCCCCCATCCCTTTGATGCTTTATTTTCTAAATAGGGGTAGGAATTAATACACTATTTGTGGATAAATATCAAAGGATGGCTTGTTTCATAGCAGGTTCAAGAGTATTCTTGTATATGAATAGTCAACTGCCAAATATAAACCAGGTGCAGTTGAAAATGCTTCCATGTTAGCAGCGATGCTGCCAAAATAAATGTAGCAAATCCATCTAATTTGTTCAGCTGTTTTTACATCTTCCCTAAAGATAACTCCACAAGTTATTGCACTGGGGCAGAATGTCCGTGGTTTCCCACTTCTTTCCACTGTGGACCTTCTTCCCCACCCCTTTGAGTGAGGCACTTATTTTTGCAGAATTCAAATATTCTGGTAGCCACTATTATCACCCGTATCTTATTAATTTCCATTTATAAAACTACCATCTCCCCCAAGAATACAACTTTTTATCCCTTCTAAAAGTATATTTTGGTTCTGAATCAAGCTGGTGTTTAAATATAAGGCTGGCAGTTTACAACTTTGGGGGGGACATACATTTGCCCTTCTCATTTTAATAAAATGCCATAAAGTCACTTCTGACTTACAGCGACTCTCCCAGAGTCTTCAAGGTATATAAAGTACTCAGAAGTAGTTTACCATTCCTTTCTTCTGGTAGTGTTCAGGGACCATACAGTTGCTTAGGACCCCACACGTGGCAGGATGCCCAGTGGAGATGTGAACTCCTAGGTCTCGGCTTTGCAGCCAGACGCTCCAGCCCACGGAGCTGATTTGTACTCACTCTTTGCCTATTTATTCTCTGATAACAACAGGAAATAGAGTAGGTGCAACTACTCCCATCTGCTCCTCCCTTTTTTGAGTGCCTGCCCGTCCCTTCTACAGTTGAAGTCAGAGCCAAAGCTCAAGCAGGATACCACATGCCCTGCATATAGAACATTCTAGGTTTGATTCCTGGTAATGCCACTCTCGAAAAGATCCGTCAATGGCTGAAGAAAAGGACCATGGCCTGGAATTTTACCATGAGTCAGAGTAGACACGAGCAGGCTAAGCAGGCCAATTGTCTGATTCAGGATAAGGCAGCTTCTTATAAAGAAGAATCCTGCTTCTTACTGCAGGCAGGAGAGGAAAACAAACTAAAATGATCAGAGATAAATGGGTAGGAGTAGTCATGTGGTCTCCTTCCTTGACAGAGAGTCAAAAGGAAGACACATAATTCCTGGTCACTGTAGGACAAGCCTAGTTTAGCTCCAGGCCAGCACCCTGTCCCCTTCTATGTAAGCATGCCAAGAGGGTCTCCTAGCCCCAAACAATGAGACTTTTTAATTCCCTCTTAAAGAAACAGATAATTAGCTATGTTTTTAATTCATTGCATTTCAATTTCAGAAGTAAAGCTTTAAGGGACAAAAATATGTTAGGATTCAAAGAACTATTTCAGATGGATCTACACTCTTTTTAAATAAAGTACTCCCCTTAATTAGCAGTGCCATTTATCATGACCTGCTGTTGGAAATCCCTTCTGTTTGAGACGTAGTTTGCCATTCCATAGAGGGAATGGGAACTGATATTTAAGCCACACAGGTCCATAGCCTCCCTGCACCTGAAGAAAATTACACGAGTCTTTGGATCCTGACCCAACTGAGTTGTCTCTCATCTACCACAGACTTTTCTCCCCATTCCCTTATTTTAGAAGAAGTGGGAGTTAAGGTGCCCAGTGAGTTTACTGATGCTATTTGATCAGCAGTAGAAAGCAGGAATACATACCCTCGGTCAAATCTTTAAAACAAACCATCGAAGTTTAGAAGAAAAATACTAAAGAAATTACTCAGTAATTCTAAGTCATTTGCATTCAAAATATGTCTGCAATTTAAATATAAACTTAATACACCTCTAAGTCTTGCTGTTACATGTTGCTCCCAGTGATTTCTCATTCAGATTAATTTGTGCCTGTCCAGTTTCAACAATGCCATAGCATGTGTTGTTCCCACAACATATGGTTCTTTGCCCATGATAGCTTTATTAAAGACACACCCTGTGTGAATTAGCCACCTTTCTGAAATACAGAGGAGTATACTGTATTCTCCTACCTTGCCCTTCAAATGACTAGTTAATCCATGGCAATACCCATTTCTTTTACATATCACTATATAACCCATAGCCACCCCAAACACTCTTCAATAACATGTCCTGTGGCCCTGTATTTCTGGTGACAACCACATTGTTTCAGAGAAGAATTGCATTAATTGCTCATCAAATGAGGACCTATTCATGCAACTCACTGAGATAAATTAACATCAATCAGAGATTCATAGGCAAATAGTCTAATAACAAATTCCAACTGATTAAAAGATCAATAGCTAAAATGTTGATTTTACCCACTGTTGCCAGAACTATAAAATATCCTATTCAGAAGCTTCTTTCTAATAATCACTGCTCATTCTTCCAAGGGGAGGCTATTGTAGCTAAGCTTTCTTGCTGTTTTGGTTACAACAGATCTGTCATGTGTTCTGTTTGAACCTAGCACATCGTTCCTAGCACATTCATAATCCCTGAGGGCCACTCACATAGAAGAGAATTAGAAGAACTGCATGACAGAATTTGGATTTTTGTCCTTGACCAGATTCTGCACCTTGTGAAGACACAGTGCCACACTTAACAGACCAGTAAGAGTTAAGATATGTTTGGTAGTAGTTTTGCTTCTGAAACAGTATGCCAATTACATATTTTTAGGAACCGTTCAACTTTAGACAAATGATTAATGTTTCCGTAGAACCATTCTAGAAACTAGGTTACCTCGTTGTCATCAGTAAAGCACAGTAACAGGAATAAGCTGGATCACTTTTGTTTAGTGAGGTCCCTTGACTTAGAGAAATGATAAGGCCTCAATGCTTTCAGGCATCATGGTCCATGAAAGTTAAGTCTCCAACACAGCCTTTTCAAAAGCACACTGACATTGGTCAAAACATACTACATTATTCACAGAACACTTCCATGAACACCTCTCGATCAGAACGCTGTTCAAACGCTTCCTGGGACGCCATCTCAGATGGAGCCACTGTTGCTGTACCGGCTGGTGGAGCCTTCTTGCAACTCAGGTCTGAAAAAGGATTGAACCACCGGAGTGAAAGATCGCCCCCGAAAGCCAGTTTCATCCCTTCCCAGCCGCAGACTTTTTCCCAAGTAGGTTCCTCTTTTTTAAGCCGTTCTATGCCCTGCAGAAGACAAAACCGTTTGCATTTGTTACAGGAGAACATTATGGCACTTGGGACACCGGGTGATTGTAACAGCATAAAAAGTGTAAGGTCTTTTTTGATCAGGAGTATAAAACCTTCTGAAGGAAACACTGAAGTATCCAGAACAACATTTGGCCATAAATAAAATACAGGGCATAATGACTTGATCAAGAAAATAGCAGTGAAATAAATATTATTTTTCATATGTACGGGGAACTGGAAGATGACCCAGTCAAAAATTCTTAGCCACACTCACAGCATAGAGAAGTTAATTCTGCCCCCTGTAACTCTCAGAATCTCCTCATTACCGCAGCTTGCTAGAGTCCCTCAAGTAATTCTTCCAAGCTCTAGCTACAGCCAAGGAACTGACAAATCCATGGTCTGCTACTTACTGATCACTACACAGGTGAAAACAGAATCTGCTCTCCTTTGCATGATCGGCCAACTATTATCCCTTTTCAGCAGTCTACTTCTGGACTTTCTCACAGAAGAATTTGTATTAGGAAAGTTAAAGAAATCCCAGTTAATGAATTGTATGGGTTTTAAGCTGCTAAAGCCGTGCCATGTTACTTATTCAACTAACACCCCCTCTCAAAAGAAAAACAGCACTTTCAATTTTTAGACTAGACTAGACTTGCACATGTTTCTCTTGGGTGAGAAAATGAGGATATATATAAAAAGAAGGCCCTTATTGATTTTTTCTATCTATCTATCTATCTATCTATCTATCTATCTATCTATCTATCTATCTATCTATCTATCTATCTATCTATCTATCTATCTATCTATCTATCTATCTATCTATCTATCTATCTATCTATCGTCTCCTCATTTTCTCACCCAAGAGGGGAATAACCTAAAAAGTGAAAGTGCTACCTCAAACATACAACCGTAGTGCATGTTCCTGAAAGACAGATATATTCCTTAGATGAAACAAATATATATATTAAGAAAGCCCGTAATGATTGGTATATATATTGGTCAAATAATTTATATATTTAACCATGTAGCAGTTATCATTTAACTACTGCATGGTGGTCTAAGGTCTACCAACCATACATCTTGCTAAAAACAAAATATATTTCCAAGACTGATCTTACTGAATTTTTTTTCAGACTTAGAGAACAGCAGGCTTTGTCCCCTTTATCCACATCCACTAAACTGCCTGAGAAGGCCCTTAAATGTAAATGTGAGGAGGACTATTCTCTGGAAATTCAGGACCTCTTGAAGGGCAGGAGAAGAGTCTGTTCTGCACACAGGTACCTATGCAACCATAGTTTGGGACAGTACAACAAACGTGCTCGCTTCAATAACAGTGTCACCAGTGACATCTCTATATTCACCAGAAGAATTTGCAAAGGATTATCATCTTACATAATCATATGCTCCCTCACTAGTTAAATAAATCCCAAGAACCACATGGAGGTTTTGCTAGAGTGCTACACATTATTAGGTCCTCATGTAGCTGCAATTAATTAGCTTGTGTTTGCTCAACACAGCTGGTACATCCAGTAGGACTGGAAACACAGCAAGAGTTCATTTTTGTGTATGGGAACTAGGACTGCATAAGATGTTCAATCCCTGCCAGGCATGTTCATTAGGAAAAATATTAATACACATGGTGGCACTGAGTAATATGTTTTACTTCGTCCCTAGCCTCTCCCCAGCATGATACTGCCAAAAATGTAACTTCTAGGGCCATCAAGATGCAGCAGGCCCTAGATGCTCCATCTGTAGTGCCATGGTGGGGTAGGAGTTGTGAATCAAAAAGCGACCCATCACAGGAGCATCTGATAACTTTATTTGTATCTTGCTATAATGTGAGGAAACATTTGGTCTAAAGTTACATAATTTGGCACAAATCTAAATAAACCTGTTTATGCAAATCTACCTCAAACATACAACCATAGTGCACGTTCCAGAAAGGCAGATATATTCATTAGATGAAACAAATGCAAAAATGTTTGGAGTGCCTGAAAATCTGACAAAAGTATTACTGTGTAAGCTTCAATGAACTGAACTCATTGTGGGCTATGGCCAACAAAAAAGCAAAAATAAACAACCTATGGTACAACTATAGTAGGACTGTGGTATCCACAGGGGATTGGTTCCACGCCCCTCCCCCTTGTGGATGCTGAAAAATGCAGAAGTATTGAATGCTATACATTGCATTGTATCTGTCTCCTTCTAGTGGCCAGTTCTGGTAAATACATATAAATACATATTTCTCGTTTTTTTTTATTTACTATTTTCAGGCAGTGGATGAGTGAATCAGCACAGTGGCTAAATGATCTCACAGATGGGGGGGGTCCTACTATAATCCATTAAGTCTTTAAGATGTCACTGCACAGTTTCTAGTAAATGTGTTGGGTTCAGTTCCACCCAATAAAGTGACAACTCAGAGATCTAAGCAGAATAAACACTGGAATACATTAAAAAAAATCTGCAATTCCCCTAATTCTGCCACAGTTGGGAAATGTCAACCTTGTGGTGGAAGGGCTTACATCTCCTAGGAACTTGCAATTAGCAAGGCAAATGGTCAGGCGGTTGGGGAATTCTGGGAGTTGTAGTCCAAAAAAGTTAGTATTTCCAAGTATAAGAACAAAATTCCCATCATTGCTATCTAGCTTGGAATTAGGGATGGCTGTGAACCATGCCTGTAACTGGGGCTATTGGAATCTGCATTTCGTGTGTTGGGTTGCCGCAGTCCTTGGACCACTCCAGCAGTCCAGCCCTGAAACATGACCCTGAAACCACCCCACACCTAGATCCAAATTCGTAGCCCAAAGTAGAGATTTCTCCAAATCCAAACCCCACAAGTTTCTGATGGTAGGGGAAAGGAAGGGGTAAAATTGCCCTTCATCTCATGCAGAAAAACACAGGTAAGATCAGAAGGGAAGAATCTGAACAGCTACAAATGTTGACTTGACTACTAAGGCCATAAGAAAATCCCTTCACCCCCAAATTAGGAAAAGGCTGGCTGGCTAGCTCAGTGGGTTAGGCATTTGGCTGTAGAGCAGAGGTTGGGAGTTCAATTCCCCAGTGGACATCCCAGAAGAGCCAACCTGTGCGGCTTTGGGCAAGCTGCACAGTTCCAGAGTAGACTCAGAAAATGGGAATGGTGAACCACTTCTGAGTACTCTCTACTTAGAGAGTCCTGCAAGAAGTCACCATAAGTCAAAACTGACTTTACAGCACACCATTAAAATTATTATTAAATTAGGAAAAAGTATAAAGCTGGATAATATATATTTCGAAATAAACTTCTGTTGTGCCAGGAGCATCATCATATTCTCAACTGAGCGACAAAAGGCTCCTTAATAACTTTAGCATTTTGATTCTGTTATCTTATTCAAATCTCTAATATCTTTAATAGATTAACTTCCTTTCAATACCTATTATTTCTAGGGTGGTTTACACAAAATATCACAGAGCAATTTAAAACAGCACAAAAGTCTTCCTACAAATGACATAACCACCCTAGAACACCTCATTAGATATTGAATAGCTTGGGGAAACAGACCACTTCAGTGGATTCCACAAAATACATCAGTGTAGGCAGCAGATATGCTTCCAAGGAGAAAAGAGTTCTACAGGTAACTTTAGGGTGCCTATAAATATTTGAAGACTGGCCATCAAATACCAATCAATCTGGGACTGCCTGCTGTAAAGCATCATAAGGGGCATGTTTAATAACTCAATGTAAGGCAATCTAAACTCATTTTAAAATTCTCACTGGGATATACAGTTTTACAATGTATAATAAGCACTAGTTTTCAGTTATTTTCCAGCTCTGTACAAATGTATTTACAAGTGTTGCAAAGTACCATTACTTGGAAATTCAGATATTGGGAGAAACGACAGGTTACCCACCTGTAATTGTAGTTCTTCGAGTGGACCTCTGTGATTCACACCCTGGGTGATTCGCTCCTGTGTGGAGCCTCATTGAAAGATTCTAGAGCTTCTGCGGTAGCAATGAACACATTAGAATATGCCCCTCCCCACCCGTATAAGTACCTTGGCGCCAAGCATCCCCTTTCAGTTGTGTCAACTGCTGCTTAATAGGAAGCAAACAATGGTGTTACAGAGGGGAGGAGCTGCTTAATAGGAAGCAAACAATGGTGTTAGAGAGGGGACAGACCTTCTTGTTGGAAGGTCTGTGCTAGTATCTTTTTATCCTCTGGCAGGGATTCAATAAAGGTGGACATGTTGTCCCAGAGGAAGCGTTGGTAAGCTCCCATGGCTCCTTGATAATTAGCGACTCGCATGGTGAAGGGTGTGGAAGAGTAAAGCCATCTACCCGTGGAGTATACAGCATTCATTGGCTGTCTTTATTTGATGGCATGAGAGACTGTCGGTGTTGAGATCTCAATTGAAAGGCTTCAACAAATATAGAATTTGGAGCTGGTTGTTTTTGGAGGAAAATGGCTCCTGGGTCATGGATTCTATAGAGGTTATCAATCCACTTAGACATAGTATGGGAGGAACCTGGTTTTGTCAAGGATCTCTGCACAGTACTAAGGAAAGATGGTAACATCGATATGTGCACTGGAGTGGTTGTATTTTTAGTGATCGGATCAGATGATCGGCTGGTTCTGTTGATGGTCGGTGGACTTGCAGATCAAGGGATTTACCCATGCAAATCATAAGTTGGGCATAGGTCTGGAAATCCTCTGCCAGTGACGGTGGGTCGGTATCGACAATGTCTGACTCTGGAGAGATAAGTAATACCGATGGAGTCTGCGGTCAAGATCCATGGTCGGAGCCATCAAGGTCGCGTCTGGAGTCGACGGACTGTCGATCAACTTTGGTGTTGAGAAGCTGAGTCTCATAGTATTGCTGGTTATGAGTCGGAAAAGATGGAGGCGGCATGTCCATGGACATCTGTCAATGTCGAGGATCGTTGATGAACCTCGATTGGTAGGGATGGACCTCGGTGTTGAGCTCGATGTCGTGACGATGCCGGGGTCAATGACTTG